TAGGGTCAAACATGAGCAGTCTGACCTCACTACAGGCCAACAAAACTAAAAGATCAAGGTGAAAGGAAAGAAAATCAATATTCAACATTGATTTTTAAAATCAAAAGATGCAAAATGTTAATAAAAAGGTAAGTGTGTAACTATGCACAACAGCATCCCCATTGTCAGTTGAAGAAAAAAATAGCTAGTATAAAAGCAAACCAACACGTCTGAGATACTGCAGCCAAGAATTTGAGGCAGCAAGGACACAGTTAAATTCTTCAGAGCACATTCATTTATTAAAGTGGCATTACAATCTGCTGTGTGTCACACAGTATATTATTTTGCCCAAATAGCTTTACATGCAAATACTTATTGCAACGAGTCATTGATCTGGTTCAAGGTTTAGCAAAAAAATAGTCTCAGTAAAGTCTTCAAAAACTTTCTTAGAGCATAAATTATATACTTAAAACTATATATATGACAAAACTTAGTTCCTATATTCAGAAATCCTATGGCTCTCAGTTTATCAAATACACTGCCCTATATTCACACATGTGAATAGCCTAGAGCTGGTATGAAGAAGGGTCCTGGGAGAAAGAAAGCATTTTAATAAACATTAAAAATTCAACTCACATTTAATATACAATCTACTTGACACTGAAAATGTAGAAAAATCTGCTGATATTTTCATCAATACTTGAAAAATTATTTCATAACACATCTGAATTATAAATCATAAAAAAATCTATTACTAAGTACTAACTAAAACCTCTAAATGAAAGACAGAAAAGAACATAAATTTCCAGGTTTACTTTTATCAAACATATTGTTAAATTTTTAAGAAGAACTAATGTTTATTAATTTACAGGATCATAGTCTAATTGTTTTCTTAACCTACAGGTAAGATCACTTCAAATACTATGGCAATCTTAGCCTGTTCTTGGCTTAGGTTGGAAAGGGTGAGGAAACCACATCTGTACTCAAATAGCCTTACTGAATCCTATCCAGATCATGGTGCTTGATAAGTGGTCCAGCTGCTCCAACTCTAAGGAGCCAATACCGTCAACACATCACTAACACACAGGCTGGGAATCTGTGTCCAAAATGGATGTAGAGATACTATACCTCCAGTGAATGTTTCAAAAGTTTCCATTTTGATGGTCCTAGTATTTCAGCCACGTAATCAGTCTAGGGGTAAGGTTGGGTTAGTTTTCTCAGCCAATTAAAGAATTAAAAGGCAGGAAAAAATCTCAGATGCCTCAGAGGGCAAAGGGCAAACAGGCTTTATTGAAAGATAACGAATGACATCCATACATACAAAGAATCACACATACAATCACACACATAACAGAAAGATAAAGCTCTCCACAAGTGGAAAGGAGACCCAGAAACCAAAAATTCAAAGTTCCCCAGGGAGGGCCTGGGTTTTAAGGGTTTTAGTGATTTCCCCTCCCCTAATTTTGGACTGATCAACTTAAACAAAAAAGTGGATGCTGACGGGTCACATCCCAAGCTGAGATTATGTCCAAGGCTATATGACTCTAAGCAGGTCAGTTTGAAGGGGCCTTGTTGGAGTTAAAAAATAAGGCCTTTCTGCCAGACCAAAAAGAAGCAGGAGTGAGCCATCTTTATTATTCCTCAGTGACCCTGTTTGCTTATCAAGGATTCAGTCCCTTACACTAGGATGCACAATGTGTGGGACAAGGAATAAGAGTCACAAGCACACAAGCATATAGATCATCTGGCTGCACAGCCTCAGTCACATCACTGGAGCATCTGAGGAAGGAAGCTCGCAATGCCCAGCACTGGTGAATTCTAGACTGGACCCACACAGCAGAGCTTTCTATAGTGCTAGAAATGGTCTAGACCTGCGACACCCAAGATGACAGCAACCAGCCACCAAAACACTGGTGAACATGAAATGTGACCAGTGCATCTGAGAAGCTAACATTTTTATATTTCATTTTAATTTTTATGTAATTTTTAATGGTCACGCATGACTAGTAACTGCTGTATCAAGAACAAGTCTAGCCTGATCACCAAATCACAAAATAGTATTCTAAACATTTAGAGTGCCCAGGCTGGTCACAGCATGGACCACAGTCTGCAGTCATGTTAAACCTGGAAGGCAAATGGACTGAGTCCTCAAGAAAACCAAGCTTATCATGCCATCCGTGGCCTGTTCTACAGGCCATACATGCCATGGGCACTCACAGAAGTCTCCCAGCCCACCACTACTCTCTCCAAGTATCAGTTTAAGAAACCAAGCCTAGGGGCCAGCAAGACCATTCTTGCCACACAAGTCTGGCAACTTGAGCTAGATCCCTAGAACCCAGGAGAAGGTGGAGAAAGAGAACCGACTCCACAATGTTGTCCTCTGACCTCCACATGCACACCATGGCACCCATGTCCACATACAAGCATCATGTACACACATATACATAAATCAAATTTTCTTTAAAAAGAAACCAATTCCAAAAGGAAAACATTCTCTCCTTTACCTCACTGCTAACCGAGTCAGTGTGGGAAACCCTGGAAGAGCCAACCACACTCAGAAGCAGAAGGCTCTCTCCTAAGCTCAAGCAAAACCCTCTGTGAGGGAGTCCATCCTTCCTACTGGTTTCTGGCACATCTCTTCTTCAAATAACACATCATGAAACCGTAAGGAAGCTGAGTGGGGTTGATTTTGGAGTAACCATGGGCTTGAGCTCAACCCTCAGGTCTATGCTCACTAGCTGTGCGACTTCGGGCAGAAAAATTAATAGCTGCGTGTCTCAGTTCCTTCTACATGAGCATTAGTAATGGTTCCTTTCTCAGAAGGTTTAAAAGAATAAAGTCAGGTAAAAGATACAGCACTCACAGAACTACCCTATAAACATTATTGTTACTTATCATTTCATCATCACTTCATTCTGAGAACCAATCAAATTTGAGAACAAATTCTAACTTCAAAAACACAAATCAGGGCTGGAGAGATGGCTCAGCAGTTAAGAGCACTGGCTGCTCTTGCAGAGAACCTGGGTTCGATTCCTAACACCCACATAGTGCCTGACAACCATCCATAATTCCAGTTCCAGGGGAATTCAACTCTCTCTTCTGACCTCCACAGGCATTGCACTACATAGGTGCACTTACATACATACAGGCAATACATTCATACACATAAAATATTTTTTTTAAACATATACATAATAGGACTTGTCCTAAGTTAATTCATCAAAGAGTTAATAATAATCACCCACTAAGAAGCAGGTATTATCCTAGGAGCTGGGAATTAGGCTGCGAACTAAGGGACAAAGGCCCAGGAGCTCATCATTGGTGGATAAGGAGGAAGAGGGGTGGGACATGAAGGTGGACAAGAAACAGTCATATTGCAGCTCAGAGACATTACATGAACTGAATTATGTTTTTCAAAAAACCATGAGGGCCTCTATGTGCACAATCTAGGGGACCACTAGTTAGTTTCTGCAGGGATAGAAAGAGATGGCTGTTATCTGGATTGCAGCAGGACCTGAAGAGATGGACCCCAAAGGACACATTCCATCCATTTAGACACAGCACTGACAGATTAGCTACTGGCCCAATGGAAGGAGTAAAGAAAACAAGGACGAATCTCCAGTTTGGGGTTTGATTATCTGAGCTCTTTCCTGGGAAGGATGGAGAAAAGAAGTAAGTCTGGGACAGAATAAACAGGATTTAAGGGATACAGTAAACTGGAGACATCTCACTTTTTATCTGTGTTAATTAACCATGAAGACTGCACAACTCTACTAAATGAGCTTTACAAAGAGAAAGTTGTCCCTAGTGGTTTTGGTAGTCCCTTTCTCGCAACACAGCAGAAGCTCAAGTTATGTTTAGTAACTTAATAGTTAACAAAGGGGTCACAGCTGCCCCCAAGTGAATGGCAGTGAGCAGCTTCTTATCTTCCCCAATTTTACAACCAAGAGCCAAAAAAGAATAAAAAGAAATTACAAATAAATCCTGAAAATTCTCAGTCCCAAAGTAATCATCCTGATACTGTTTTTCATGTCATTTCACAATCAACAGTATGTCCATCCATCATTTAGGCAACATTAAGAACAGAGCTGGAACAAGTAGGTATGGGGCTCAGTGGTAAAGCACTTGCCTAGCAAATATAAGCCCTAGGTTCTGTCTCCAGACCACAAAAAAAGCTAAGTGCTTGACACACAGACGGTACCTAGTAAGTGCTTAGAGGGTGAACATATCAGTGGAGCTGGAGAAAGGGGAGGGAAGAGGAACAGTACTGGGTCTCTTCACCTTTCTCATCCAGCAAGACCTACAGACATGAGACAATAATTCTCTATAGATTCCATTTAACATATATTTTCAACAATAACTAGTTCATACTATATAACTATATCTTTTGTAAAGACTTAAATGAAATTAGAAAAAAATCATTTGAGATATTTAACAATTTGGAAACAGTAAACGAATATTTTCTAATTTCAAGGGTTCTTTTTTCATAAATAAATATCTGCTAAACATTTACTCCTAAATTTCCACTATCCCCACTACCAATCCATTTTACCCAAAAAAGGTATTAAGTATTCTGAAGGCAAACAGAGGGTTTAGGAGTTAGATAAGAAAAACAAAATTCCAAGAAGTGTGTTTGAAAGTAGAGCCAAACTTTTTTATATGTATGAGTGTTTTGCCTTTATGCATTATGTGCAACATGTACATGCAGTGGCCACAGAGGCCAGAAGAAGGAGTTGGATCCCCTGGAACTGGAGTTACAGCTGGTTGTTAGCCCACATGTGGATGCTGGGAACCGAACCCAGGTCCTCCGCAAGAGCAGCCAGTGCTCTTAATCACTGAACAAACTTTAAAAGAACCCCTGATACTGATTTCCAACAGTCTCTGTAAAAAGCTGAACACATTCACTTAGATGGCAGAGGCAGGCGGAGCTCTGTGATACTGAATTCAGACTGGTCTACATGGCAGGTTCCAGGTCTGCTGGGAAAAGATAGAACAAAACTAAAACCACAGAGCTACCATACCTGAAGCACCATAGACACTGGAATACCGCTGGGACTTCGAGCCAGACGGAGAGGATTCCTTCATTCGATCAATCACATTCTCTGAAAGCTGCATAAGAAATACAAAAATGAAGTCAATGATACAAAAAAAACAAAAGGAACACAATGCGGCAACATGCACGTGATGCAGCCACCCCTAACAATACGTAGAACAAATGGCCTCCAGAAATCAGGGTAACACAAACATCTATAATACCCAAGCAAGTAAGAGTTTCAGACCTCAAGCCATTCGCCCAGCACTGGGCCTTCATTTCTTCTAATGCACTAAGTGTTCGTTGCACATACCACTTCTTATTTTATGCTGTGCACTAAATCACAATCTCAGAGAACTTTTCTCCTAGAATCCTACAACAGACCTTAGCTCTTTCCTCCCTGCCAATTCCAAAGCAAACAGTAGTCCATCCTTCCTCCCTTCCTTCCTTCCTCTTCCTCCCTTCCTCCCTCCCTTCCTACCTTCCTCTTCCTCCCTCCCTTCCTCCCTCCCTTCCTACCTTCCTCTTCCTCCCTCTCTTCCTCCCTCCCTTCCTTCCATCCTTCTTCTCTCTCTCCCTTCCTCACATCCTCCCTTCTCTCCATGCTTTCCTTTCTCCCTCCCTCCTTCCTATTCAAGGCTAACTCCACACAATCTTTTTTTTTTTTTTTCGTCTTTTTGAGACAGGGTCTCCCTGTAACCCCAGCTGTCCTGCCACTCACTATGTAGACCAGGCTGGCCTTAAACGCACAGAGATCTGCCTGCCTCTGGGATTGAAGGCTTGCCCCACTATTCCCAGCCCACACAATCACTTTTAACAGATGTTAATAGGCGCTAAGGCACTAGGTTCCTGTGCCAGGAACTAAGCTAGACTTAGAAGACTGAAAACCATCAAGCTGCCTACAGTGCAGTGAAATAAACAGATGATTTGAGACATTTAAGTATGCCGTGGAGGTTACTACCTGAGCCTGCCAGCCAGTGATAAAGTCTGTAGAAACACAACAGGCAGTGCATCCAGCCAGGCTGAGGGGGTGTGGCTGGAGCAGAGGGACAGGGAAGACTTACAGGAAAGGATGAACAGGGCTTAGGAAGAGAAGGCTGCAGGACAAAGAAAGCACATTAAGAGTAGATGAAAAACAGAGATTCTTAGCACTAGACATCTAAACGAAGAGATCAAGTTCTCAGCTGCAACAGGCCAGAAGCTCTAGGGAACACTGACCAGAAGATGTGAGTCACTGGCCCCATGGTCACCACTGCATCCCCCTTTCTTATTTTCTTGCTAGTTTACAACTACCTGACAATTACTTGTTTACTCTCCACCTTTCCCACTGCAGGAAAAAAAAAAAAAAAAAAAAAAAAGCCAAGAAAGTCAAGATTCTGATGTCCTATCACTGTATTCCAGGACTCAATAAGCCTGGTTCACAGAATGGCTGAATAATTGAATAAACAACATGAATGCACGGAGAATGAATGAATGAATGAATGCTGAAGAAGGGACATAGTGAAGAAGACATGGAGAAAAAAGGGACTACTTCAGATTTTTTAAACTCTCAGTAAAACAAAGTTTGAGCTTAATAAACAAAGGTGTAAGGGCAGTGGGTACTACTGAAGGGTGGCTAAGCAGGGTGGTGACATAATCAGATTTACATTTCAGGCACATCGGTCTGGCTACAGTGTAGACAACAGACTGAAGCAGGGTAAAAACAGAAGGACCCCTGAAAGAGACTAAAGGACCAATTAAGAAGCTATTAAGCGTATGTCCACACAAAGACTGCACAGAAATGTGCATAGAAGCATTATTCATAAAAGCCCAAGTGGAAACAAGCAAATGGCTATTTACCAGCGAATGACTAAACAAAGCATTATGTATCTGTAGAACAGAATACAGTTCAGAAATAAAGAGGCACGAAGTTCTGGTAGAAACTACCATATGTATCAACCCAAAAATCATTAAACTAAATGGAAAGGGCCAAACACTAAGGCCACATACTAAAGAATTTCGTTTTTTTTTTTTTAAACAGTTTGAGACAAGGTCTCACTATACAGCCCAGGTAGCCTGTCTTTGCCTCACTGGGATTTCAGATATTTGTCTCCACACCTGGTTATATAAGTCTACTTATGTGAAATGCCCAAAAGGCCAATTCTATAAATACAGCACCTAGGGCCGAGGTAGGCATAAGGATTAACTGTAAAAGAGCTTGAGATCTGAGATTATGAAAATGTGCTTAAACTGAACTGCAGGGGTCGCTGCACAACACAGGAGTTATGTTCTGAACTGTTGGACTATACACATCAAAGTACATTCATGGCATGTAATCTACAATGAAGTTCATGGAGGTGGGGGGATGTTATGATGGTACTACAGAAGAGAACACATTCAAAAAATATTTAGGACCTGGCATGATGGCACATGCCTAAGGAAGATCAAGAGTTCAAGGCTAGTCTGGGCCACATAATAAGAGACTTTGTCTCAAAAGCAATAAATAACTGAAAAGTATTTAGGATTCTGTGGTGGTTTGAATGAGAACGTCCCCCCTAGGTTCCAAGTATTTGGACATTTTGTCCCCAGTAGGTGGTGCTGTTTTGGGAGGTCTTAGAAGATGCAGGCTTGATGGAGAAAGCAAGTCCCTGGGAGCAGGTTTAGAAAGTTCCGAAGCCTTGCTAGATTTCCAGTTGCTCTCTGCTTCCTGTGCCTGCTTCAAGATATGAGCGCTCCCCTTTCTACTCTAGCCACCTCTGCCACATGCCTCCCCACCGTGACAGGCTTATTTCCTCTGGAACTGTAAGCTAAATTAACCCTTCTATAAGTTGCTTTGGTCAGAGTTTTATTACAGCAACAGAAAAGTAACTAACAGACTCCAAATAGCTAACACTGGCTGAATGCGTATTATGTGCATGAGTGTGTATTATGTGCAAGAAACACCCTGCACTCCACTCATTTAATTCTTAACAAGTCTGGGTGGCAGATATTAATATTACCTCTACTGTATACAAAAGAAAAAGTATCAGCAGATAAATACTAGGACCTAGATCATACAGCTCATCTGGAGTAGAGCTAGGATTCCAACTCAGGAGCTTCAAAGTCACCTTCAAATATCCCTCTTCAAACCTCAAAGTGGGAGTAGTGGCTCAAACATTTAATTAATCCCAGTACTAGGGATGCAGAGAAGGGGGCTCTCCATGAGTTCGAGGCCAACCTGGTCTACATAGTGAGCTCCAGCCCAGCCAGGACTACACAAGGACCTTGGGGTTTACAGGTCAAGTAACAGTGATTTCCCTACCTATATCAAGGTCCTTCTAATTTCTACTTCCTCAGCTCCCCACTGTCTGGCTTTTAGTCTCAGTACAACAAGTAGAAGACACTTGTGACAAAGTCAGTAATCTTTTACACTGTGTTTATATAAATGAGTTTTGTACAGTGTCCTATCTATATGGCTTCCTTCCAGCACCTGACCCTGCTCTCACTGCCCTCTTCCACGCCTTTTGGACTTCTCACTGCACTAGTTTCCAGAGCTCTGGTGCACCCCATTTCTTCCCCAGGCTTCCCTCCTCGGCTGCCTGCCCTCAATGCTTTAAGGCCCTGACTCGGCTCTTCACAAACCTCACTCTCGTTTAATTCCATGAGCTCTTGGTACTCTCCACCAATCTCTTGATTTTACCTGCCTCAGCCTCCCAAGTACAGGAATGACAGACATTTGCCACCACCCCCAACTAATCCCTAATTTTTAACTACTGTTGATGAATTAATGAATTCTAAAATGAGCATCCTAAAAGCAGGAGTGAACACAATTACTAGACACCTTTCCTCACAGACCCCAAAGGACTTTTCCTTAACTCTTATTTCTCCTTATTCACTCAGCAATGACCCCTCAGCCCCTAAATATCAAATGAAGGTATCATCTCTCTCCTGCCGTGATTTACCATACCACGAGCAAACCTCCCAAAATGCAAATCTGTCTGTGGTAAGTCACTGCTGCAAATCCTTCAAGAGCTACATTCTTTCAACAGCCAAGTCCAAATTCTTTTTTAGGCCATTTAAGATTTCATTTGGCAATAGGCTAATTCTCCAATCTCAACTTCCAGTTTCTCCCCTAACACTTCACACGCTATCTTACCTCCATTTGTGGCTGTTTGTTACCATCTCTGCCAATACCACCTTCCCTCCGACCCCTTAAGATGGAGTCAACTTTCAAGATCCAATTCATACTTCCAAAAGCCTTTGTTGACCAAAGTAGTTCTACATTCCATTCCAATCCTGCATGCCTACCCAGAACTCTCCTTCCACTGCACCTAGCACTAACCTCTAGGATAGCCTTCCAATGACACAGCAAGTGTCACAGTGTCTCCGCCTTTCCACACCTTTCCATGCGACTGAGTTCCTACATACTGAGTCACCCATTCATCACTCATTCAACAAAAGTCCCTACAACAAGCACTGAACCAAAGCCCTGTCCACAGGTGTGAACAAAACAAGCTACACCTTAACAGTTATTTCTATTTCCAGGCTCAAACTAGAGTTAAAGTAGGATGGAAGAAGGAAAGGGGACAGCTGAACTGTGCCTGAAGTAAGGCATGTGCCACCAAGCCTGGCTTCATATTTCCTGACAGTAGTTACTGGAAATATTGCTGAAACTCATCTACAAAGTTCAGACACAGCTTGGAAAAAAATAAATAAATAGCACTGACTCCAACCCTGTAAATTTGCAGGTGAGGGGAAAAAAAAGAGACCCTGAATAACATGCAGCTACAGGAAGCACCAAAACCAAAAGAAGCTGCCCCAACCTCCAGTCCTAGACGATCTACCAGTAAGCTACACTCTCTATCCTTCTCCCTGTGATATATATTTTCCACTCAATTCATATAGGCCAGATATAATGTATTAATGCTATAATATATTACACATATCACTATAAGGGTGAGGCTGTAGCTCAGTGGTAGAACACTTTCCCAGCATACTCAAGGCTCTGGATTTGATCCTCACCCTCTGAAATACAAAAACAAGGAGTTGGAGAGATGGTTCAGCCAGTAAGAGCACTGGTTTCTCCTTCAGAGGACCCAGGTTCGATTCCCAGCACCCA